AGGGAGATAGATAGATAGATAGATAGATAGATAGATAGATAGATAGATAGATAGATAGATAGATATCTTTAAAAACTTTCTTAGCTGTCTTGAGTACTCAACAATGTAGAAAGTCAGGGCATAAATAAAAATTATTTTTAAAATAAACTCTATGCTAGAATTAGCATGGCCCATTGAACTAGTAAAGATAAGAGTGTTTGGACATATTGAAAGTACACTTTCAACTATAAAATATGACAACTTCTGATTACCTATCAAAACATTTCAGGATGTGACTTCTAGAAAATCCTAGTAACTCTTTTAGTAATTACTAAACGTGCTACAAAGAAGATGTAACATGTCCTTTTTTTTTCAGATGATTCTGCTACTGGCCAAGAAACATATGACACTACAGATTGGGCAATTCCAAGCACAATATACTTAGCGGCAACTTCTCATCTTGCACATTCTTACATAGAAGTGACTCCTCCATATAGGAGTTATTTTGCCCTGCTTATATGAAATACAAAAATTATCACTTTGCAAATATATAGCATTAAAAAATAAGGTTTTATGAAATGAGACCATGACAACCTAGAAGTTAAAAAAATAGACCCTTGTATTCAACATTTTTTGGAATCCTCAGTTAAAAATATCACAACTGGGAAAAGTAGCACATTGAGATGTTTCAAAAGAATACACAAATATTGAAATAGATATATGGTCAGCATCAAATATCCTTATAACATACCTATGAACAAGTGTATTCATTGCACCGGTTCTCCTTAGGAATGCATGCAGGAAACATCAGGAAGTAAATTCAGCATTTAATATTTGCATTGATCTCTCCTTGCCAGTGATTTCCAAGCACCCAGTTCCTCCCGGCTTTCATCTTGAACAAACACGTTGTGTGATATTTTCTGTACCAACATTAGATGAAACCAGGTTGGACTATACTTACCTGGCCGGTAATGCCAGTGATGAGGGCTACTTTCCTGGTGCTCATATCTGCACAGTCCTCTGCTGCCAGTTCAGAGTTGGGGCAGGTGCCTTCCTGGTTCTGAGGATATTCCATTGACTTAAGGGGGGAGGGGCTACAGAAATCACCCTGTGGGTACAGAGAAATGGGAGGGAGCCTAGCAATTGGATGAGGTGTACTTGCAAGGTGTGTCGCCCGAGGTGTTGTAACAAGTGAACCCGGAAAGGGGATTAGTCAAGGAGGAAGGTCCGCTTAATAGCACTGGAATGATAACGCGGGCTTTGATAATAAGTGGAAAAAGCATAACCTAAAACAAGGGGCTGCGGGTTGCGGCTTTAGGAAGAGGGGCACGACAGAAAGGAAACCTTCGCGTTAGCTATTGCTAGTGCCGGGATTTCGGCGGCATTTCCGTGTTCGTTTCGGCACGATGCTCCTCGCCACCTCTGTTATCTCCTCTCGCGTGCTCACTTGCTGGCCGACGGAGCCGCGCGTCGGCGCCTCTGCACGCGCTCTCCCACCCGCGCCCGCCTCTCTGTCCGGCCGCGCGCTCAGAATGCCGGAGTCGATCCCGTCCGAGGCTCGCGCACTCCGCGACCAAAGGACGGGACAGAAACGAGTCGCAGTCGGTAGTCAGCCGGCCGGCCGGCCTGCCTCTCGCTCCTGCCGTTTCCGCTCCTTGAAAACCAGCGGCAGAAACCTCCGCCAGTCACTCAAAAGGAACGTCAAGTTTAACGGAGGCTTGCCTTTTTTTTTTTTTTTTTAATGTT